GCTTTTGAAAAGGGTGAGATTATAAGAGCTAGGAAAAACGAAAATCGGAAGAGTGTTCCATAATTTCGCAGTCCTCGGGAAATAAGATTGAAAGATAGAAGTCCGACATCTGCGGACAGAAACCCGATAAGGGTGACTGGTCGCCTGAGAACGAGATGGACGAGATAAGGTCAATGGAAGGGGAACCGCTGAAGTGCATTTGGTTGGTAGAACCCCATGCGGAGATGAGTCCAAGATCTGAGGTAAGAGAAGCAATAATGACATTACGACCGTGATCGATATTGTTAGCAGCTTGATGGGGTGTGGGGTAAGAAAGAGAACAATGGAGAGGGGCATCATCGGCAGAGCAGGGGATGGGATTAGAGGTTTTGGACAAAAGATCGTTGATAATTAAAAGAAAGAGGGGGGTGAAAGCATGGAACCTCGGGGAACACAGGCGTTCACGGGAAATGGCCGAGATAGGACCCCATCTACTCGGACGGAGATGGTTCGCTTGCTGAGGAAACAACGAAGCCACGATACAAGAGACGGGTGGAATCCGAACGTGGGTAATTTCGATAGCAGACCTTCATGCCAAACGCGGTCGAAGGTATTTGAGATGTCGAGCGAGACCATGTGAGTTTCTCCGTGGTTATCGAGTGCAGCCGACCAGGAATGTGATGTGAGCGCCAGTAAATCACCCACAGATCGACGAGGGTGAAATCCATACTGACGGTCATTTAACAAACCTTCGCGTTCGAGAAACGTACGCAGTTGGTCGGAGATAATGGTTTCAAACATCTTCGAGATTACAGATGTAAGGGTAATGGGACGGTAGTCGTTGGGGTCGGAAGGGTCGCCGCGCTTTGGGATTGGAAAAATAATGGCATTTTTCCATTGAGTAGGGAAAGATTTATGTTCGAGTGAATTACAGAAAAGGCGGCGTAGAACAGGGGCACACATTTTCAGGACGGCAGGTGGAATACCATCCGGACCGGGTGGTTTACAAACATCCAGACCGCGAAGAGTTTGGTGGACCTTTCTGGTTGTTATGATAGGTAGAAAGGAATGACTGGATGCGTAGGAGGAGGGTTGAACAGTAGGGGTCGCAGATAAGTTGGAGTTGGATGCAAACCGGGAAGCGAAAACCTCTGCTTTTTCGTGAGGTTCATAAACAAGAGTACTAGAGGAATTGCAAATGAGAGGAAAGTTGAAAGAGCAGAAATTACGTCAAACCGCTTTAGCGAGGGATCAGAATGTTCGGTTACCGGTGGCGGAAGAAACCAAGCGCGCAGCTTTGTGACAAATGAAGCGTTCTTTAGCTCTCTGAATAGTGATCGAGCATTTGTTTCTGGCTTGCACGAAGCGGTTGCGGGATGCTGGATTGGGTGAGTGGCTTACATCGGTTTCATGCCATCCTTGTGCCCCAATCAAAGGTATCAAACAAACAGGAACTTAGCAATCAGTAGAAGCCCTCCGATTTACAATATACCAGGACAAATAAAACGATCCGAGACACTCACAAAATACAGAACTCACTCTTGAAAAGTGCATGATTGAAAAAAAAACTAATAACCGGTAAAGTCAAGTCAATTAGCTTTTTTCTCGTGTGTAGTGAGTACTAAAAATGTGACACAACAGAAGTCCCTCATGCCTTCTTTGCACAATAGAAGCCAACAGTAACGGGGAGAAATATGGAAATGTATACATCGCCTGCAAATAGACTCCATCGATTCCGATAAATCCATCCAAGATATTCGTATCCATCCCAAGGTTGGATCAAATACGTACAACAGAACTCAATCCCGCAGAACAAGAACGTCTTCTGAAACCAACTTTTCACAACCGCCTTCATGGTGAATATAAGAAGACCTAAATCGACTCGGCGGAGCAACAAACTAAATCTTGAACGAATTTCGCTCTATCCGTCTGTGCGATTGCGGACAGTTCTCACCTATATCGAGTTGTCAGTTCCCGCAGCAGGTTTGAGGTTTGAACATTATCTCGTCGTTTAATCGGGCGCGTTTTTATTATGACGCATATGGGATATACAAACATAAAGCCTTGACCAGGGTGTTTACTTGAACAGCACCAGACCTCAAAAATGTGAATTGAATGCATGACTCGATTCATCGCGCTACTTCAACTTCCGCTTCATGCCTAGGAATCCATACATGCAGTCGTTCTAACGATATCGCAATGTACTTCATACTGACCTTAACAGAATCCTGTACGGATAGGCGAATAGGCCGATGGGACAAATGACAAGAAGCCCCGGGGCGTCAAGTTTGGCAGTGACAGCAGTTAGCAAGAGAAAAAATATTCGACGTTTTATGTAACCCAGAGATTTATAGGACGAGTTTATCGCATAAATTAGGCGTGAGCCGAAAAGCTGGGAAGCACTGGACATGCAAAAAGCAGTCAGGTTGTGAACGTTTCCAACCGAGTCAAAACCCTTGAGGTTAGTGTTAACTTGGGCGAGGTCAGTTGCCCCCAACAAGATCACAAACATGGATTGTGCTATAAGGTGTATATTCAAAATGAGAAACGGTATGGTCAGCTGCGGGTGTCCAAGTGGGTAGGTAGTATGTTTGGGTTCTACCTGTGAGGTCCTGGATTCGATCCCCGGTAAGGACGATGGATTCGCACTGCTGATGAGATCCAACCAGGTCGAAATAGGTGTCTAGCGCTTCCCAACTTTTCAGCTCAAGCCTCATTTACGCGACGAATTTATCAGATCAACAAATCAAATCCTCCATTACTCTCGTGTAACGTAAAGGTTTTTCAAAATAAGATAAGAAACATCAGCATATGCAAGCAGTTTAGCGACATTTTCAATTAGTTCTTGTCTTTTTAATCTTACACGGTCTCTGGCTGGAAAGTGAAACTGGCAGGTTCCACTGGGAGCAAGCAATGCCAGAGAGAAATACCGTCCAGAACGATGAGCAGTGCTGTATTTTTCCGTCAAATAGAGAATTTATTGAAAATAACTGAATAAAAACCGGATTATCACAGCTCAAAGAGGAGTTTTCGAAAAAGTTGAATATATACATGAATGTATGATCAGGTCCAAATACTCTGAAGAGAAAATCCATCGACTTCAACTGCCTAACCGAACTGTTTGCTGGCCAGTCTTTCCACTTTCTTCGTGAAACTTGATGAACAAATCGGTTGCTCGCGATCAAAGAACGGGTTCAGTGCCAACTGTACGTGGGCAAACGGATAAGCAATTCAAATGAACGTACTTTCACATAGGCTTCGTAAACATCCTGGAAGAAATTTCGTATGCGATTCTCGTTTTGTTCATCGTGTAGCAGGACGAAACGAAGCTCTGCGATACGAGTTAAGTGCAACTCGAGTCAAAAGCACGAAATTCTTCAAGGACGACGAAAAAACACAACAGATACATGAAAAGATGTGAGGCATTTTGCACACGGATATAGCAAACGAACGGGTGTGCGATGAACACAAGAAAAAGTAACTTCCCTTGGGTTACAAGAACCTACTATTCATTCAGGAAAAGCAATGCCCGAAGCACTGATACTTAGGTAGCGAACTACATGCGGTCAGGGGTACTATGGAGCTGGACCAAAATGAAGTTTTCTTACACTAAAATTGGATGGCTATGGCAGGACTGAAACCTCGAACTCTACGGCTCAAAGTACAGCTGTGATATGGAAATACACAACTTGAATATCCTTGGTGAGACCGTAGGTTTGCATGCTATGGAAATTAGACGCTCCATGCAGAAAACGGAGGCACGAACGACTATTTTATTTTTAAGCCATTTCCTCAAGGATGAATCCATGAATAAGCTTGGATATATGGTACAAATTAATCGACTCCTGCTTGGGTTAGGGAACTTCGGTAGTTTCAGATCCAGTTTCAGTTTGCACAACCATTAACCACACTTTCGTGCGCCGGTTTCGGTTGCTGTCCTTTGGCTGACCGTTTGGATGAACATTAGGAGGAAGACAGGAAAGGTTGAAAGTAGGATCAAAAAGAAAATTTAGAATTTCATTGCATTAATGTTGCAGAAAAAT